CTCCAAAGGTATATTAGCTGGCATGTCAGCCTGAATTTCATCCCATGGTTTTATCCAATTATAGTGGTTCACATCCCCTGAAAGTGTATCATTCACCTTCTCCAGACTTGAATAACTTTAGTAACTGTGGTCTCTTTGCCATTTCACTGCACCTCAACCTCTTCAAATCGTTCATAAAACTATTAGTACCAGTTCCAGAACTGGCCCTTGAGGCACCCTACTGTTAAACCCATCTGCTCTACTGAAAATGGGTATTTTATTCCTATATGGTGTTGTCCCATAGCCAGTTTCCAGTCCTTTCAGCAGGTGACTGTTTACCTTTGTTATTAGCTTTCGTGATGAATTTTGACAAAGGCTTTCTGCAAGTCTAAATAAATACCAAGAAATACCAAGCAGTTCTCCTTCACCCCTATTTGTTGACACACAAAGAATACTAGTATACTAGAGGCCTGATTTACCTTTACCAAAGCTGTGATTATATGTGTTTATGAAAGTACTTTGTGAGTCTTAGCATTAACGTCTGTTATTACATTGGTACTTGAGTACTTACAATTGAGAAAACGATACCTTATGAAGACTTGGTAAACAAAAAGAGATCTTCTAGATGCATTATCTTACATAGAAGAATACAATTTTGGCACTTGCACAATGCTTAGCAGTGTTTTTCAAAAGCAAGTGCTGAGATTTAGGAAAGACCTGTTTCTGATAGTAGGCAACCTTTGCTCTGATCTGAGAACAAAGCCTCTTTACAGGGGGCACATCTACATGTGCAAATGCTGCAGGGTGGGTTTACCCTAAAGTAAATTTCTTTACAGTAAACCCACCCAGGCAGGCATCTAAACATGCAAGGATGCAGGAACAGTACTTTACTGCTTCTGGCAGCAGTCTGCTTCCTCCCCCTCTGGCCCTGCACTGGCCCCCTGCAGCGGCCAGGGGGTGCTCTATGCTTCCCCCGAGTACTAGCCCAGGGGCTGGCAGGAAGCACTTTCCTGGTGGGGGCTGGGAGATTGCTCCCTGCCCCTGGGAACTGCCTGCTGCTGGGGCATGCTCCACCACTGGAGCCTGGGCGCCAACAATGTCCCCCTGCCCTAGCTGCAGGGAACTCTGGGCCCTGGCTCCCCAATAAGGGGCAGGGGGCTTGGAAAAAGTTGCAGGGGAGGGGTAGTTCCTAGCCCCCTGCCCTGATCCACAGGTGGGGCAGCTACCAATGAGCCTTTAGCTGGGCAGGGATTCTCTGCCTACTCCTCCCCTGCAGCTCTTTCCAAAGTCGCACCTTGATCACCTGATCAGGGCATGTGGCTGGGACCTGCCTCTGATTGGGACAGATTCTGGCCAGCACCGCGGCTGTGCAAGGAAGTCTGCACATACAGCCTGGAGGTGGTTGGGGACTGTCCCGTTTTGGGCAATCCCCAGCCAGTTCCAGGCTGCATGTGCAGACTTCCCTGCACAGCCCAGGGACTGTCCTGGTCAAAGGCAGGTCCCAGCCAGCTCCAGGCTCGGCAGGGAACTCTGTACTAAATTACTTCACAGTAACAGCTCGTACAGATGCAGCTAGTAGGCGTCTGCATGTGTAAACAGCGATGCTTACTGTGCAGTAATCTGCACTAATCTCGAATAATGTGTTCGTGTAGACATGCCCAGGATGCAGTTACGAAGAGAAATTTAACTAACAAATATTAATGGGAATTATTGTCTCTTACAATTATCCAGGGACCATTTAGGTAAGGATCAATTAAACACATCGATAAAGAAGCAAGCCAGATTTTCAAAACCTGTTTCTACCGGCAAAGGCTACTGGGCCTTCATGACTTATGTCACTGCAACATCATTTAAACTGTAAGCTCTTTGGGGTGGGAGTATCAGTCACTATGCTTGCAAGGAGCCTGGAGATCATGATCAGAGAGGGGGGCCTCTCCCTTTTATAATGCAATGCAAATAATAAAATCATCAGATAAAATTTCCAGAAGTGCCACTGTTCCTTTCAATCATTTCATCAGGATTTAAAGTTGGAAGATGTCCCCAGGAACTCGAATATCAGTATGATAAATTGCAGATGAAAATATCTGCAGGTGCAAAACAAAGGGTTTGCTTTTTTTGTTTTGAATAATATCCCTCTTTATGGCAAAATATACCACTGCATATGTTGATATTTTTGGTGGAGTTGACAGAGTGAAATACTTTGTATCTAATTGTGAAGGTCACTGAGTATTGAGCACTGCCTGAGGACAACTGCTGGCCCAGAAAAGGAGTTTTATCACCTTGTTGAAAGCCATCAAGCTCATCAGGGACAATGAATATGAAATACTCATCTGCTACTACACTCCCTTGGAACAATGATTTTTCTCCACAGGAGGCCAGCAAATGGGTCAGCACAACTGACCAGGAAGGAGGAGGGAGTGGGGGAAGCCCCATATTGGCAGTGGACTGAGCACCAACTTGCAAACAAAAGTCTGCTCTGGGGAGCTGGTGATGATCACTGCCACCTGGAAGCACTCACCAGAGTGGACAGGCACAAATGACACTGCTCAGCCTGCAACACAGGACACAACTTGAACCCAAAGAAAGGGGGAGATCACACACACCATCTGTAATTCTCAAGTGCTTTCAAAGCAAAGTAACTTATTAAGAAAATCTTTGCTTCCCTGACATGTCCCTTAAGGAATGAAGTTAGAAAAGAGGACAGTCCTAGAGGCAGGTTTTGACATGGCTCAGCAGCACCACCCCATGTCTGAAGAAAGGTCTTCAGCCTGAGAGTTTGCTTCCTAGAGACCAGTGGTTCTCAAACTTTTTTGTACCAGGACCCATTTGTAAACATTGATGGCCAATCCTGACCTAGTGCCCCTCACTCCCAACCCGCTGCCCCCCAGACCCCCAGTGTGTGGGGCAGAAGGTGGGTGTGTGGAGGGCATGGGGGGCCCCAAGCAGCCCCTTGCAGGCAGGTCTGCAAGGGAAAAGCCCCCATTTCCCATGTTTTTCTCTTTTAAAGGAGAACCCGGTTTTAAACTTATTGATTCATTTTTAAAGCTTGTTTGCGATCCTGTCAAAAACCATGAGACAAACTCTTTGTCCCTGTGCTTCAAACAAAAACCATGAGAAATTCTTTAAAAAAAAAAAAAAAAAAATCAAGATTGGCATGTGAATCATGAGATGCTACTTTTGAAGTGTGTGTGTGTGTGGTGGGGGGGGTTGTGATGGTGTGGGGAGCTATGGGTGTGTGTGGGGGGTGAAACCTGGGGATGAGTGGTCCTCCCACACACCCTGGCAGCATGTGGGGTACTGTGGGTCAGGAGTGAAAGGCAGTAGCAGGGCTCAGGGGGCTGTAGCATGGAGTGAAAGGCAGACAGCACTCAGCTAGTATGTGGAGGGGATGGGTAGATCGAGGCCCCCCACGGTGAGGGAGGGAGTGGGGCTGGGGCATGGGCGAACAGGGCCCTGGGGACGGGGCAGGTCATCCAGAGGTGCAGGGGGGGCATGTGGCTCCCCATAGCAGTGCGCAGCCATGGGGGAGGCATGGGGGAGCACAAGCCCTGTGGGGCAGTGGCAGGCTGCCTGCTGTGGGCTGGGCTCTGTGCCCTGCTGCCTTTGCCCTAGAAGCTCAGCTGCATGATGCTAGTGTGCTTTCTGCTGGCAGGTGGGCAGGGGATGCTGGCTGTGCCGTGTGGCCCCTGCCTGCCCAGTGGCAGGAAGCACACTGGTGTCATGTGACAGCTCCTGGGGCAAAAGCAGCAGGGCACAGACCCCCAAGCCCACAGCAGGCAGCCCGCCTCCAACCCATGGGAGCATGTGTCCCACATGCCTCCCCCCACAGGGGTGTGTGCAGCTGTAGGGAGTTGGAGTCACACCCCGCGCCCCTGCATGCCTCTGGATGACCTGCCCCAGCTGCAGGGCCCCATTCACCCCAGCCCCTGCTCCACTCCCTCCCTCACCGCAGGGGCCTCCACCTGTGCACTCCTGCCCCTGCCCTTTCCTCCCCACAGACTTACCAGCTGGGAAAATCCGGAGATCTGAGAGTTTGATTAGGAGGTTGTGAGTTGGAGTTATTTAGACTTCTAAATCTGGAGTCTCGCGACGTTTTGCCGACAGTTGGCATTACTGAATACATGAGGGCAACACTGATTTTCTGTCCAGCTACCAGCAGTACCTCTTCTGCATGTTTGATAGAGCCTCCCCATACACACACACATACCTTTTCCAGTTTATCCTCCTCAAGCAGATTACTGGGTTGCACAAAACTTCCTTTTAGAGCCCAACACTTCTTATGTCAGGTAGGCAAGTCCTTTGTAACCAGCATATTTACATTTTACCTCCTTGAACACTGGCTTCCACTGCCCTCAGCTTCACCACTAGTAAGCGCAAGAGGGGAAGAAGAATAAATCTAGCACATGGCAGCAAAGGCAAATGGATCATTAGATGCTGATTAATTCTCCAGTATGGGATTTCAGGATTGTCACACTCTTCCCCACCACTCCATTTTGGAGGGGGTTTGTTGTTTTCACGAGCTGCCTCAAGAATCATTTAAAATTACTTCAAAGTTTTCTTTAAAAGCTCTTTTATTTGAGGCAATGGCTTGGCTCTTTGGACTTTGTTATGAAATTCACATTTGCGAATAAGAAGTTATGATTCCTTTTGAGGTAGCTCTCACCTTTGTAATTAACATCCCCATCCAAGGTGGATGTTTCCCACCTTCGTAATTAAGAAGGGTGGAGCAAAGTTATTTCAAAGCAAACATCTCCAACTCAAAAGCAGCTGTCTGCTAGTTCTACAGCTATGCTGACTTAAGAACATGACAAGAGCTATACCTCCTGCAGCTGGTGCACCCAGGCCAACAAGACCCCTGGTGCGGACACAGATTTGTCAGCAGAAAAGCCCCTTATGCTGGCATCTGCTACGTCTTCATTGGGGGCTCTGTTACTATATAGTTATACCAGAATACCTATAGACCTAGAGAAGCAAGTTAGGAGCAATGGGAGAAATTATGCCTCAATCTCAAGAGTTCACTCTGTCTGATTAAATGAATTGAGTTTTTATATTTATCACCTCATAAAATTGTTACATCTAAAACTGCAATAACATATCAAGCTTAAAAATAAACCTATTTCTTTTGAAAAAATACACACAGTTAAGAGTTAAGTGGATCTACAAGAAATCCTTGCAATATGCCACAGACTGAGTTTGCAACCCAGCCATAGCCAACAATCAAAAGCAAACTGCAGTGACTGCTGGTCGCACCTCAGAAAGGTTTAAGTGAGTCTTGATTAGTTTCCATCCCTGTAGACAGAGACACTTAACAGTGCACTGAAACTGCTTCACCATACAGGCTGCCAAGGCTAGTTCTTCTATATCAAAGAAATCACACCAGTGCACTGTAGGTTTGGCTCAGAGAGAGGCTGGGGTGGGCACAGTGGGTAAGGGCAGGTCCATGGAAGGCGTCTCAGCCACCTGGGCTGGGCTGGGCTTGCGAAGCTCCAGTTTTTCATTGAGCTGGTTGTAAAGATCCTTCACAGCCTCGCTAGTCTGTAGAATAAGAATTTAAAAAGTCACACTTTATTCTAGTTGTTATTAGGCAGCGCACTAAATACTGCAATTACAGGGAGTGTTTCAACACAGAGGAAAGTGGGAAGAGGAGGTTATGATCTAATTAAATCAGAACTATGTACGCTTTGAAAGCTGCTATTTAAAACAGAACACATGCTCCATTAAGTAACTTCAGGGAATGCAGCTGCCTTAATTTGCACATGGCTTTCTTCTAGTAACCCTTCGTACCTGCTTAGTAGGTTCCAAAGACTTCTGGAGCAACTCCAATTTGGTAGGTGCCATTTTGTGATGCAGGTGAAGTAGCAATCTTAGCACATGTCTATGTACGTTCTCCTTTCTGTGAAGAGCAATTTTCAGGTGGTGAAACGAATGTAAACAGGCAACATTATGTTTACACTTTAGAGCACAAGTTACAATGGTTGTCAGAGTAACTACATTCAAATGCTAAAAATACTTGTAGAAAAATGGCTTGTGTGCTACATTATATGAATCCTGCCTTAGGCTTCCAAGAAATTAATATGATCTTTTTGCAGACAAACACATTTTCTGTGCAACTGACAAAGCACAATCCTGAAGCTCTCTCTAATGTTCAAAACAGAAATGGGATGCACAACTGTATCATGCCTTCTGCATCTTGTGTCCACAAACAACGATTTAACATTTCAGAACATTTTATAATCAACATCCTGTAATTTCTTAGATTTTGGTGCTACATACAGAATTGGCTGCTGAAATCTTATTTCTTTAAAAAATAAAACAAGTAATCTATTTAGCCAAGAAAAGAGTCTGCAGGCAGGTTAAGCAATAGCTCAGAGAGGCATGATCTACCCACTTGCCTTGTAAATACTGTGCTTTGAAGACAGACACCAGTTACCTTGAGCAGGCAGTGAGAAAGAAGCCATCAAAGAGACTGGTACAGAACTCCTCCAGTGCAAATTCATCAGCCAGCAATGTGAGGTTACCGGTGAGCAGGTGCAAGAAAATATCACTGAAGGCCAGGTCACTGAATGTCTCAACTGCATGACACAAAGAGACTGACAGGCTAGCATGCATTTGCCTAAATACCTCACCTTGTAGTAGAAATTTCTGCCAGAAAATTTCAAGTGGACTTTCCTGATGAACCATCTCCAGGTGGTTTATTACTGTGTCCAGATATAAAGGAAGGTGAGAGTGGATCTCAGGAAAACCTAGGGTGTGAGCTGGGTAGTTATTGTAGAAGGGGTAAGAACAGTTAAGCCTGGGGGAGAAGGTTTGTGCCGAGTTCTGCATTGTGTCATTGCAAGTTTCTTTTGTGAATGAAGCCAAATCCAAAGATAATAGTAAGTTCTGACTCAGTGTAATCATTGTAGACTATCTGCAGCAGGAAGCCACTTGATCAAATATATCATTTATCTTTCAGCTCTATTCCAGCAAGCCTATTAGTCACATTGCTAGTACAGTATCTTTTATCCATGGAATTAGAGACAGTTAACAAGGCTCCCTCCATTCTGGTTCAGTAAGGAAACACTGCCACCTAAGGTAAATGACTCACCATGGCCACACAGTGAAATGACTAGCAAAGCTGAAAAAAGGATTAATGCTATCCCCCAGTCATCCCCAAATGCTTATTTTCCTCAATTTAGGACTCCCATGTGTGACAACTGGGCACAAAATATAAAAAGAAAAGACATCTTACTTAGAGCTGGCAGAAGCCTAAGAAAAGCATTCTTGTTCCTCTGCTTAGTGATGTGAAGAACATAATAGAGCCCAATTTCACAGGCTATTCTGTTCTCCTGTAAAAATCTGTAATGGTACAAGCACAAGCAAAGATTTACAACCAGAAAAACAAGAAACCACTTACTAGAGGTGATTTAAAAAGAAAGGGTCTAAGAACTGGAACCCACATGGAGTTGGGGCAATAGAATATCTTAATATCTAGCTTCAAGCCTTTTGTGACATGGTGGCCAAGGTGCATACCATTGTTAGCTGTCTGCTGACTAGGACTAAAGACATGATAATTCAGTAAACATTCTTACTTTCCAATAACAACTTCTTAACTCTCCATGATTTAATGTAAGAAGGAACCTCACAGACCAAGTTCAGCAGAATGGAAAGTATGATTTTGATTTGATTTATACTTTCTCATAGCTCAGACATCCACAGCACTGCTATCAAACAGTGGTGACCATGATTCTAACTAGAGACAATAGTCTGAGTGTGGATATGCGGACAAGAATAGTGATAGAAATAAGTGCAAGATATGAGTATGCCTAAGCATACAGAAGACCTTTTCATGCTTTGCAAAGAGTAAGTTGCTTTTGAAATCCCAGACATATGGGATTTCAAGCAAAGTACACTTTTTACTGTCCCAGCGTACGTGCATCTTAGTTACAGTAACACATGCAGGGGGATGAGCCCG